GGTTATTTGTGCGTTTGTTCCCTATACTGTGTGTAGGTTGCTAAATAGGAGCCCCCCTTCCATTCTTATCCTAAACCTAAAAATAAACAAAATCTCGTTTCCGGCGCTGTCGCTGCAGGCGGATCCTTTGTTGAATCCAGGACAAGCCCCTCTCCTACATTGCCTCGTCGCTCCCCACCCAGCCGCATCTTCTCCATGCGTCGCCCTGTCCCTGGTACACAGACACGGCGTTGCCGCTCCGCTCGTACTCGAAGGCCAAATGAGCCCGCAGCTGAGCACATAGAGCATGGAAGCGCATGTCATGCTGTTTTGAGGCAGATGATAGCGGTGTGGGAAGATACTGTCGGTAGGAAGATGCGGAGCAGCAGCAATGTCACCGTGCCAGGAGGACTATGGCACTGGCAGGACCGTGAACGCCGCTGCCGGTGAAGACTAGGTCGTCATGAGCGGAGATCAAGCTACAAGTGGGACTGTACGTGGGAGTCCCACCAACAATCCACCTCGTCCCAGTACAGTTTGATGTTGAAAAAGTGGGCATCCCACCAAAACTAACACAAATTAAGTGGAAATAAGTGGGATTCCCACTTAATAAAGTAGAGAAGTTAACTGAGGTATGCGTAACGTCTCAAAACACATGCAGAGCCATCGGTGCCTTGGAGCTCGACGCCGTTGAAGTCTGTCATGGTGGAACCGCGACGGGGCCTCCCGGATCTATCCATTTCCAGCGGATTGGGGAGGTTTTGTGGCGCGCCGGCGAGCTTCTTCGGGCGGCCATGGAGGTCCTGCATGAGAGGGAGGGGAGGGAGATGAGAGGTGGGTGGAAAAGGAAAATGGAAGGAGCATGGGGCAGAGGGCGGCGCTCATCTATGGCGGCGGCGACGGTGGCCTCCGGCGGCTCACCGGCCGGAGGTCCGGCACAAGGTGTTGGGACTCGGGCGACGGGAGAAGGAGCTGCTCGGGGCGGGGAGGTGGCTCGGGTAGGAGCTGGCGGCGGGCGGCGGTGCGGCTGGGCCTTGATGGGCTTCTCAAGGCTCGATCTTGGTCCTGTGCGTGGAGGGGAAGACAGGGTCAACGGGCAGACTTGCGGCACCGAGAGCACGCTGCGGCATCACCCAAACTTGCGGTTTTCTAGCTATAGGGGTAAGGTGGGCTCCGGATGGGATAAGTGGGCTAGCCCGATTATCATTTTACCTTTTCAATGGGAGCCCACTAAAGCAAATTAAGTGGGATGGGCTAATTAATCCCACCTCCACCTGGGTTCGAGCCACATCTGGATGGTAGATCCCTGGATCCACCACCCAATCACCACAGCTGCACAGCTACAAGCCGACCTCCCCTGTCAATAAGGAAGATTCACCTTACCATGCAAATTTGTAAGGGTATCCTATGTAATAAATAATAAATAGGTCTTCGCCATTCTATTTCGGTTAACATGCACACATGTCACCACAACATTAAAAGAAAAACACCTTAACATGCAAAAAAAAAGGTCCACCTCAATAATTAGATAAATATATCAAAGAATATATATTTTCAATATTATTTCTCGTATATTAAGCCAAATGCAGTCGAATTTCATTGAAATATAGTGTAACCAATTCTCTCAGCACTGCACAGAATGTGTCATGTAGCTAGCTGCAAGAGTAACACGTGGACAGGCCCACAAATTTGCAATACAGGGCTGAAGAGATTTTATTTTATTTATTGAAGAAAAAACAGACAAGTACAAAAGACTGAATGTCAAAACAAATACTACACGGAAACATACATACGTCGTGCATTGCAACAGGAATGATTTACTTTGGTGCGATGAGTTCGATTAACTCATGCACGGCAGCTAGCAAGCTAGCTAGTTCCGCCCCTCCTTTGCTGCCATGAGATCGTTGACGAGGCGGTGCAAATCTTGCTGCGAGGAGCCTCCTTCTGCGAGGGCGCCATGAGACTTTGAGGCGAGGTCCATTACCCTGGTCCTCATAACGTCCCCAGGTCCTCCAGGATGCATGAATGTGAGCAATGCCCGGGCCACATCGTCGGCCGGGATCAGCTCATGTTTTTCGTAATCCTCGCTCCGTAAGCCAGCGCCATGCGGCCACAGTCGGTGCCCAATTCCTAGCACATCATTGATTAGCCTCTCGTTGACGAATTGGTCATGAAACTTTGGCCATGTGAGCATAGGCACGCCCGTGGCCACTGCCTCTAGGATGGAGTTCCACCCACAGTGCGTCAGAAACGCGCCCACTGCGGGGTGCGCAAGTATGGCAGTTGTTTGAGCCCAGGATCTGATGATGACCCCCCGGTCCTCGACACGCTTCTCCCACCCTTTGGGTGGAGTCCACTTCTCGGCCGCCCTGACCGCCCACAAAAACGGCTTCCCCGAGGCCTCCAACCCAAGAGCAAGTTGGTCCAGCTGAGCATGTGATACTAGGGCGCACGAGCCAAAGGACACGTACACGACCGAATGGTCCGACTTTGTGTCAAGCCAACCGATGTACTGTGACTTTGAGTCATCTGTGGGGCTCTCAGAGGATTGCAGTTGCGGCCCTACAAAGTAGGAGCGCTGGACGTACCCTTGGCCCGTGTACATGTCGCAGTACTGCTGCTCCAGGCCTGAGAATGTGTTGACGGCGAGGCCGAAGCAGGCAGCTTGCATGGAATGAACCTTGCCGAAGACGTATCGAAATATCGATAAGTCGGGCAGCTCGGTCCTCGGGACCCGTATCTGAGGGGTCGGGAACGGAGGGGCCGTCACCGTGTCATCTCCGTCGATCGCGGCGTCCTCCATCATGAGGTGGCGCATGGCGAGCATCGAGAAGGCGCCGGTGACATGGAATGTGACACATGGCACGCCGAGCTCGTCGGCGATGTCGGCGCTCCAGGTGAAGAGCAAGTCGGTGATGATGGCGTCTGGAGACTGCGCCCGGACGAGCGTCTCGTGCACGGGGCGCATCAGGGATTCGGTCGAGGCGGCGATGTTGATGCGCATAGAATCCGCCTGAGTGGCCGCCTTCCCAAGGTTCTCGACACCCTTGGGCAGGCCCTCCACCGTTGGGAACGGATAGGTAACTATCTTGACAGTTGCTGCGCTATGGCGCTCCAGCAAGGACTGGACGATCGGAACGTTCGCCGGCGTGACTGCGATGATGGCTTCTACGGTGGCGTTTGGGCTAGACGACGCGGCGAGGCTAACGGCAAGCTCGGTGAAGGGGTGGATGTGGCCAGTCGCAAAGTGGGGCAATAGCAGGACACGCAGAGTCTTGCTGCCGCTGCTAGTGATAGAAGAAGCCATCTTTATTTCTTAATTTCCTACTAGGAGCACAAGGCTGTGGGTGGCTCAGCCAGGACACGCATTTGGCCTATTTGTAAGCCGGCAAGCTGTTCGCTCTTCTCTGATTTTTCAACCAACTCTACAGTGATAAGCTCCATACAAGAGAACAGCGAACAAATCCACAAGTTTCAACGGTATACTTCAGAAGATTCCACATACATATTGCAAATTCCACAAGTTTGAACGGAGAACATGGAAGATTTCACATACATATGACCATTCAACCATAGAGGGAGTATCTTCCACATATAGGACAAAGAGGAACCATACGTCAAAACATGAGAGGAAACTTAGTGTAAACTCGGGACTACTGATTTGTCCACAAGTTTACAATCATCCATCTACAGAAGTACAGATACACTTTACTTAAAGTCATAAATAATTTTATGATTATATGAAGTTCTTTACAATCATATGGAGCTAAAATCATAATTGAGTGTAGAGATTAAGTAGTACATATAATTTTAAATATTACTTCATAACTTCAGGAACGCGGCCGACGTCATGAGGCTCCGCCCCGGCCTGAAACACAATTTCACGGTGCTGCAGCATGCTCATCTTTGCCAGAGGCTTTTTCAGCTCAAGGTGGATGAGGCCGGCGGGGTCGAAAGGACCGGCAAGGCCGAGAAGGCCAGCAAGGCCGTCAAGGCCGGCGGGTCTCGTTTGGGTTACCAGCGGGAGTGGTCCCATTGAGCAACAACTCTTCCTTGGTAGACCAAACATGTGCATGTGACAGGTGCATGAATATCAAAATAAAATATATCATATCCAACATGGGTTCAAGTTTTCTAAATGGCACGGATTGCAGTATTTAACACCCATTCCTTACTTTTCCTTAGATTTTTTTGGTAACCTCACCGATTTTATTGATTTCAAAATAATGTTCATAGGTACAAGGTTAGAGTCATCAGGATTACCCAACCAAACATGTCTATCGGTACCTAAATTACAAGTAATTGTGAGCCTCAAAATTATAGTTCCTACGGTCATGCAAGAACATAGAAGAGGAAAAACAAGAACTAATTTACTTTTCTTTAGATGCATGGAAAATGACGGAAAGAGACACTGGGCCAACCACGGATTTTTTTTGGTGACCGGGCCCAACCACGCATTAGTCAAGCGCTGCGAGAAAAAACACATAACCAGTTAAAGAAAATAAACAGAACCATTAATCTTCCACGTAACTAGACAAGAAAAAACATCAGTAGTCAAAAACACATGAGTGGAAGAATATACAACTCGCTCGAAGATTTCTGGCTCACTTTGACCGAACGCAAGTCACCATTCGCACGTCCAAGTCACAGCTCATAGTGATAAAGTTGTATGCACGTGACTTTTCTGAAAAACACAGAGCCTTCAATTTTGTACATAACCAGACCCGGAAAAACCGGAGGTCAAAAACACGTCTTTTTTTGAGGTGAAAGTCAAGAACACGTGAGTGGAAGAATACACAGCTCGCTTCAAGATTTTCCGTCTCACTGTTCGTCCGAACGGAACTCACCGTTCCAACGTCCAAGTCACAACTGACAATGATAGGGCTCTAGAAACGGTGCAAGTGGGACATGGGTAGATAATCATGAATATAATATATTATTTTCATGTAATACAAAAATATATAATTTTGCATAACCACATGGACCAACAAATATATCAGTGCATGTACGTGTCGCTAGGTGGTCCACAAACCTAGTTGGATTTTTTGTTACTTCTGGTTTCGCTACACTGCCATGATAGATGATGAATATATTGAAAGTTTCTCCCCCAAAGAAAAAACGTGAAGTCAGATGTCAGAAGTTTACTAAGACCAAACTACTAGTTGCAATATATTGGAAAACACTTTTTTCCAGAAAGGATGAAGTCCCCTCGCCTGCATCTACCGGGGAACATAGTATTAATTTATTTCATAGTTACACGTCTTGCACACGCCAAAAATAAAGCCCACACGAACTAACATCTGGTTGAATGGTTAGCAAAACAGTGGTATATGATTATTGTTGCCTCGTACACCCTACCCGCTAGCCTACCGGGTCGTTTCTAGCGACTCCGGAGGCGCCGCCGCTGTAGCACTAGTAGAAAAAAGACCTATTGTTCCGGTTCGTAAGGGCCATTTGTCCCGGTTGTTGAACCGGGACTAAAGTGTCGTTACTAATGCCCTAGACCTTTAGTCCCGGTTCTTATACAAACAGGGATAGATGGGCCTCCACATGACCGGTGCGGCGAGTCCAGGCAGGAGGCCCTTTGGTCCCGGTTGGTGGCACCAACTTGGACCAATAGGCATGCACGCGTCAGCATTTCGGGCTGGGGTTTCCGTTTTTTTGAAATGGAGGGGGTGGGGGTTGGGGTTTTGGGGGGTTAATTTAGGTGTTTCATATATTGTGTTAGCTAGCTAATTAATAGAGAGAAGTGTCCTCTCTTATCTCCGTGCTTGGTCGACGCTATAAACTATACGTATAGACAGGACTAGACACGCTAAGCAAATGAAGGAAACAGAACATCGTCTTGAACATGTGCATACAGAGAGAAGTGGTATCGACCACCTCTCCTTCTCTGGGAGATTGGTCAAACAACAAGCTCTACATATATACAATATAATTACCTCTTACAATATAATCTCCTAATTATGTATGAACTCAGGGTCCACATTGTATTCTCCGTCTTTATCGATCACGTGGTCAAGAAAGAATGCCGCCAATTCCTCTTGAATTGCTCGCATACGATCTGGTGGTAGGAGTTCATCCCGCATCCGAAATATCTAATTGAAGAAGGGGGTCAATACATATATATGAAAAATGAAACTCAACACAAATGATGGTAATAAAATAAAATTGTGAATATTATTTTTTACGCACTTCATATTGTTTGTCAGAGTAGCCCCGCTCACAGGTCATGTGGCGGATGGACTCGTAAATGTATTATCTACAGTAACCATTCCCTTATTCCTGTCACAACCACTTTATAAGAAATAAAGGTCATTCAAACTGATAAGCAAGCATGCTAAATGGTATTGATGAAACTTGCGCTTGAATCACTAGGAGATGCGCGGAACATGCTACTATAGTACTTACTTTCGGGTGTTCAAATTGCAGCTTCTTCGGCAGTCGCAGAGTTTTTGAGGTGAATTTTTTCCAAACCCTGCCAGACAAAGAAAACAATTACTTGATATCAGGAAATGAACAAAGTTGCCGATATGGTGCGATAATGATCGATTTAACTTACTTCTTTAGAATTTCAGTCATGTCCTCATACACCTTGGGATCTTTTCGCCTCGAGTCTAAGACAGTTACTAGTCCACACTCAAACTTAATCTCTACGAGAATATAGTGGAAGCTGCGCATGCATGCATAACTCATCAATTACATTACTATAACCTCGACTAATAAGGGAAACCGAATATGCACAAGATAGTAACACTCACTTGAATTTGTAAGGAAAGAGTATTATAGCTTTGTTTTGATTTAATACAAACGATTGTAGCAGCTTGGCATCGGTATCTCTGGCCTGAAATTCAACCATATATGCATCTATGAGATTTGTGTTAATGAACCCAATATCACTGATTTGTCTTTTCTTCAATTCGATGATCTTCAATCTGCATAATATAGTGAGGATAATTAAAAATATATGCAATGAAAGAGCTGACCTATATATAGAGACTTAATGACAGAAGTAGTACCACTTACAGACAGTAGCAAGTGACCGTTAGTTTATCGAGGGCCTTTTGATTGAAAAACTGGAAGAACTCCTCAAATGGAACATTCAACAGCTCAATTCCAACGAGGTCATGCTCCTCTTTAACTCTCAGCGTCAAAATATTCGTCCCCCACACTCCCTGCAGGTTTTCATGTACCAATCATGGAATCTTCACATCATCGTTGTTAGAGATCTTTCATCTTTGACGAGAGGCTTCCCGTACTTGTGTTTGTGTTCGTCCACCTCCAAGAAATCATAATGTACATCATCGGGCGGGTAATCTCCAAGATCGTTATAACCGGGCACCATCCCCAGATCATTAGCGACGACGCTAGACACCTGGAGCACAGGGAACGATTGGTTTCCTTGTACTTCAGCTAACCTTTGACCACTAACAGTACTTCCCGATCGCTCCGCTTCGATAAATGACTTTTCAATAATGCGCTCATAGTTGCCTTTCAGCGAAGACTTTGGTGGTTTCTTCAGGGCAGCCAGAGTACGCTTCGCTTTCACCGGATCTATCTTCTCCTCCGGAGGTGGATGTTTCTTTGCTTTCACCCCTTCAAAGAAGTCTTCACTTCGGCTCGCACGATCTTCACGTTTTCCTCTAGGCTCCTCTCATATGGTAACTTCTCTGGAGTCTTTAGAGAAGGACCGAATCTGTATTCACTATGGGAAACAGCTAATTTGCCGTCAGGGGCATGTTTGCCGTTAGCTTTTCGTTGGGCAGAGGGCAAAGAAAGGGTTTGCCATCATCTACAGACGGCAAAGAAAAACTAATGGCGAAATATACTTTGCCGCCAGCGAAAAAAATACAGACGGCAAAACACTCACTTTGCCATCTAAAAAAAGAAACACACACAGCAACAATCTTTGCCGTCAGCGTAATTTATTACAAATACAGAGGGCAAAGATCTTTGCCGTCTGCCTTTTTTATTACAGATGGCAAAGAGAGCTCTTTCTCTTTGCCGTCTTTAATATAAAACGCAGACGGCAACGAAGAAACACACCATGCGGATCGATCCCATGGATCGATGACGTGACTTGGTCCACCCAGTGTGCACTCCCACGATGGGCAGCCCAACCCACCGATCTCTGTCTCCCTTATCCCACGATCTCTCTCTCCCATGTGAACTTGTCTGTCTCCCACGTACCCATCTCTCTCTCTTACGGGCAGCGACAAGATCGATGGTGCAGGCGAGGAGAGAAAGAGACGCGGGCGGCGCGGCACGGGCCGGCGAGCTCTGGCGCCTCCTCCCTCCGACGCCTCC